CTCAGGGGTGCAAGGGGCAGCCTAAGGCTGAGCTTAAACCCGGCTTTACTAGAAAAACTCAAGGCTGAGCGGCATGAGCGAAGCTTAAAGCTGGGCTTTGCTAGGCAGGCTTGAAGGCAAGCCCAGCTTGCAACAGCTCTAGAGCTTTCCTGGAGGTTAAGGCTGAGCCTAGCTTGAGCTGAGCTTTCCTAGAGAAGACTGAGGCTGAGCCTGGCTTGAGCTGAGCTTTCCTAGAGAAGACTGAGGCTGAGCTTGGCTTGAGCTGGGCTTTCCTAAAGAAGATTAAGGCTGAGCCTGGCTTGAGCTGAGCTTTCCTAGAGAAGACTGAGGCTGAGCTTGGCTTGAGCTGGGCTTTCCTAAAGAAGATTAAGGCTGAGCCTGGCTTGAGCTGGGCTTTGCTAGAGAAGATTAAGGTTGAGCTTGGCTTGAGCTGGGATCTCCTAGAGAAGATTAAGGTTGAGCTTGGCTTGAGCTGGGCTCTCCTAAAGAAGATTAAGGCTGCGCCTGGCTTGAGCTGAGCTTTCCTAGAGAAGACTAAGGCTGAGCTTAGCTTGATCTGGGCTTTCCTAGAGATTAAGGCTGAGCTTGTCTTGTACAGCTCAAAGCTGGGCCTTCCTAGACAGACGTGAAGCCAAGCATGACTTGCACAGCTCAAAGCTGGGCTTTCCTAGAAGAGCTTAAAGCTGAGCTGGGCTTTCCTAGAAAGGCTTGAAGCCAAGCACGGCTTGCAGAGCTTAAAGCTGGGCTTTGCTAGAGAAGATTAAGGCTGAGGTTGCCTTAAGATTAAGGCTGAGCTTTGCTTGCACAGCCCAAAGCTGGGTTTATCGAGAAGAGCTTAAAGCTGAGATTTGCTTGCATTAAAGCTGGGCTTTGCTAGAGGAGATTAAGGCTGAGCTTTGCCTGCACAGCCCAAAGCTGGGCTTTTCTAGATCTTAAATTGACTTGAGAAGATTAAGATTGAGCTTCACTTGCACAGCCCAAAGCTGGGTTTATCGAGAAGAGCTTAAAGCTGAGATTTGCTTGCATTAAAGCTGGGCTTTGCTAGAGGAGATTAAGGCTGAGCTTTGCCTGCACAGCCCAAAGCTGGGCTTTTCTAGATCTTAAAGCTGAGCACAGCTTGGAGAGCTCAAAGCTGGGCTTTGCTAGAGAAGATTAAGGCTGAGCTTCGTTTGCACAACTCAAAGCTGGGTTTATTGAGAAGACCTTAAAGCTGAGCTTTGCTTGCACAGCCCAAAGCTGGGTTTATCGAGAAGAGCTTAAAGCTGAGCTTTGCTTGCATTAAAGCTGGCCTTTGCTAGAGGAGCTTAAGGCTGAGCTTTGCCTGCACAGCCCAAAGCTGGGTTTATCGAGAAGAGCTTAAAGCTGAGCTTTGCTTGCATTAAAGCTGGCCTTTGCTAGAGGAGCTTAAGGCTGAGCTTTGCCTGCACAGCCCAAAGCTGGGTTTATCGAGAAGAGCTTAAAGCTGAGCTTTGCTTGCATTAAAGCTGGCCTTTGCTAGAGGAGATTAAGGCTGAGCTTCACTTGCACAGCCCAAAGCTGGGCTTTCCTAGGAAAGCTTGAGCTTGAGGATCATTTGCAGGACTGTAAGCTGAGCTTTTCCAAGAGCAGCTCGAAGCTGGGCTTTTCTCTAGAACAGCTTGAAGCTGGGCTTTGCTAGACAAGATCAAGGCATGGCATCAGTAGAACAGCTCTAAGCTGAGCTCTTCTGGATCATATTGAAGGTGATCGTCGCCAGCATGACTCTGAGCTGGACTTTGCAGGTAATCCTGAACCTGAGCTGGGCTTTCCTGGATAGTATTGAAGCTGAGCTTTGCTAGCATGGCTCTGAGCTGGGCTTTTCTACATAATATTAAAGCTGAGCTTTGCTAGGACAGCTCTGAGCTGGGCTTTCCTAGAAAGTGTCGAAGCTGAGCTTTGCTAGCACAGCTCGGTGAGCTGGGCTTTCCCAGGTAATATCGATGCTGAGCACTGCTAGGACAGCTCTGAGCTGGGCTTTCCTAGAAAGTGTCGAAGCTGAGCTTTGCTAGCACAGCTCAGAGCCAGGCTCTCCAGGTAATCCTGAACCTGAGCCGGGCTTTCCTGGATTGGACTGCGGCTGAGCATGGCCCACACGGTCCTGAGCTGAGCTTTCCTAGGTAATAGCTAAGCTGAGCTTTGCTAGCACGGCTCAGTGAACTGGGCTTTCCCAGGTAATATCGATGCTGAGCATGGCTGGCCCAGCTCTGAGCTGAGCTTTGCTAGATAATATCGAGGCTCAAAGTTGAACTTTGCTAGCATGGTCCTAAGCTGAGCTTTTCTAGGTAATAGCTAAGCTGAGCTTTGCTAGGACAGCTCTGAGCTGGGCTTTCCTAGATCGTATCGAAGCCAAGCATGGCTAGCACCACCCTGAGCTGAGCTTTGCTAGATAATATCGAGGCTCAAAGTTGAACTTTGCTAGCATGGTCCTAAGCTGAGCTTTTCTAGGTAATAGCTAAGCTGAGCTTTGCTAGGTAATATCAAGGCCCAAAGCTGAGCTTTGCTAGGTAATATCAAGGCCCAAAGCTGAGCTTTGCTAGGTAATATCAAGGCCCAAAGCTGAGCTTTGCTAGGTAATATCAAGGCCCAAAGCTGAGCTTTGCTAGGTAATATCAAGGCCCAAAGCTGAGCTTTGCTAGGTAATATCAAGGCCCAAAGCTGAGCTTTGCTAGGTAATATCAAGGCCCAAAGCTGAGCTTTGCTAGGTAATATCAAGGCCCAAAGCTGAGCTTTGCTAGGTAATATCAAGGCCCAAAGCTGAGCTTTGCTAGGTAATATCAAGGCCCAAAGCTGAGCTTTGCTAGGTAATATCAAGGCCCAAAGCTGAGCTTTGCTAGGTAATATCAAGGCCCAAAGCTGAGCTTTGCTAGGTAATATCAAGGCCCAAAGCTGAGCTTTGCTAGGTAATATCAAGGCCCAAAGCTGAGCTTTGCTAGGTAATATCAAGGCCCAAAGCTGAGCTTTGCTAGGTAATATCAAGGCCCAAAGCTGAGCTTTGCTAGGTAATATCAAGGCCCAAAGCTGAGCTTTGCTAGCACGGCTCCGGGAGCTGGGCTTTCCCAGGTAATATCGATGCTGAGCATGGCTGGCCCAGCTCTGAGCTGAGCTTTGCCAGATAATATCAAGGCTCAAAGCTGAGCTTTGCTAGCATGGCTCTGAGCTGGGCTTTCCTAGATCGTATCGAAGCCAAGCATGGCTAGCACCACCCTGAGCTGAGCTTTGCTAGATAATATCAAAGCTGAGCTTTGCTAGGACGGCTCTGAGCTGGGCTTTCCAGGTAATCCTGAACCTGAGCCAGGATTTCTTGGACAGGACTGAGGCTGAGCACAGGTGGCACAGATCTGAGCTGAGCTTTGCTAGGTAATAGCACAGCTGAGCTTTGCTAGCACCTCCCTGAGCTGGGCTTTGCTAGGTAATATTAAGGCTGAGCTTTGCTAGCACAGCTCAGAGCCAGGCTCTCCAGGTAATCCTGAACTGGGCTTTCCTGGATAGGACCGAAGCTGAGCTTTGCTAGCACAGCTTGGTGAGCTGGGCTTTCCCAGGTAATATTAAGGCTGAAAGCTGAGCTTTCCTAAGACAGCTCTGAGCTGGGCTTTCCAGGTAATCCTGAACCTGAGCTGGGCTTTCCTGGACAGGACTGAGGCTGAGCTTTGCTAGCACGGTCCTGAGCTGAGCTTTTCTAGGTAATATCAAAGCTGAGCTTTGCTAGCACAGCTCAGAGCTGGGCTTTCCTAGATCGTATTGAAGCCAAGCATGGGCAGTGCGGTCCTGAGCTGAGCTTTACCAGGTAAGATCAAAGCTGAGCCTTGGTAGCACAGCTCAGAGCCGGGCTCTCCAGGTAATCCTGAACCTGAGCTGGGCTTTCCTAGGCAGTACTGAGACTGAGCATGGCTGGCCCAGCTCTGAGCTGGGCTTTGCTAGGTAATATCGAAGCTGAGCTTTGCTAGCACAGCTCTGAGCTGGGCTTTGCCAGATAATCCTAGATCTGAGCTGGGCCAGCACAGCTCAGTAAGCATGGCTGCACAGCTCAAAAACAAGCACTAGGCTGGGCTTTGCTGGGTAATATTGAAGCCAAACTTTGCTCCCCAGGCTCTAGGCTGGGCTTTGCTGGGTACTGGGGCAGCTGAGCTTTGCTCGCCAGGCTCTAGGCTGGGCTTTGCTGGGTGACATCAAAGCTGAGCTTTGCTTGCCAGGTTCTAGGCTGGGCTTTGCTGGGTGATATCAAAGCCAAAAACAAGCACTAGGCTGGGCTTTGCTGGGTAATATTGAAGCCAAACTTTGCTCCCCAGGCTCTAGGCTGGGCTTTGCTGGGTACTGGGGCAGCTGAGCTTTGCTCGCCAGGCTCTAGGCTGGGCTTTGCTGGGTGACATCAAAGCTGAGCTTTGCTTGCCAGGTTCTAGGCTGGGCTTTGCTGGGTGATATCAAAGCCGAGCTTTGCTCGCCAGGCTCTAGGCTGGGCTTTGCTGGGTGATATCAAAGCCGAGCTTTGCTCGCCAGGCTCTAGGCTGGACTTTGCTGGGTAATATCAAAGCTGAGCGTTGCTCACCAGGCTGTAGGCTGGGCTTTGCTAGGCTGAGCCCAGCTGGCGCCACCCAACCATGGCTCCTGGACGTGTGCTCTCCTGGGGGTGGGGCTTGGGGG